CCTACATAGGGTAACTTGGCAGATATGGATTGACACCTGTCCCCAGAGCCCCTGATACACACTGACACAGAGCAGAATAGAGACTGTTTCCCCTACATAGGGTCACTTGGCAGATATGGATTGACACCTGTCCTCAGAGCCCCTGATACACACTGACACAGATCAGAATAGGGAATGTTACCCCAACATAGGGTCACTTGGCAGATATGGATTGACACCTGTCCTAAGGATCCCTGATACACACTGATACACACCTACTTGGATGGTATAGACATTTTTAGCTGCTCCTGGCCCGAACACCTGACCCACATAGGAGCCGTAATAGACCGGATTAGGGAGTCCGGACTGACCCTAAAGCCCAGTAAGTGCCATATAGGAACGTGTAAAAACCTCCCCAAGATAGTAGTATGGGCCCCAGAGTGTGAACAGGCCTTCCAACAGCTCAAGACGGCGCTCATTAAATCACCTGTACTTTCTGCTCCTGATCCAACTAAACACTTTCTCGTCCATACAGACGCTTCTATGCTTGGATTGGGAGCAGTACTGAGCCAAGTCGGAGCAGATGGTGGCGAGCAACCCGGGGCTTATCTAAGCCGTAAACTTTTGCACAGTGAAGTATATTCACTGCCATTGAAAAGGAGTGCATAGCGGTGGTGTGGGCCCTCAAAAAGCTGCAACCTACTTGTATGACAACCGTTTACCTTACTCACAGATCACAACAAATTTGGGGCACTGCGCGTGCAATCTAATGTGCCACCAGATAGGAGTGGTGTGTTTAGTACTATTGTTATCAGTTTAATCACTGTTACGTCCCCTATCCGTTGATGTGAAGTTAGACGCAGCAGCAGAAGAGGACTCAGCCGAGGAGGTTATGGAAGATGAGCGTGAACTGCTCAAGGCGGGAGGCGGAGTGGCGGATGGTTGAGAGGGGACAAGGAGGACAGCAGTGGTTGACGTGGCTGAAGATGCTGGACCAGGAGGAGGCTGGCGGCTTAGAGTAGGCGAGCTGCTTGTAATCATGTGTTGATCCCATAGGCGTCTGTGATGTGAGATCATGTGCCTACGCAAAGCAGTTGTACAGAGGTGGGTGTTGGACTTCCCACGACTCAGTTTCTTTTGGCACAGGTTGCAAATGGCATCGCTGTTGTCAGAGGCAGACACACAAAAAAAATGCCACACTGCAGAGTGTAAGAATATTAAATAGTTAACTTGCTTATATGTATTTTATGCTTTTATAAGGTTTATAACATGATTATTGCTGACTGAAGGGATATTGAATACTTAAAGTCAATATGCTGACTGTGACAGACTAAGGTATTTCTTCTATAGGATGTAAGACAATGCTAAATTTCAGGATGTCTTGCCCATTCCGATTTCAGGATATTCTTTTCCAGACGTATGCAAAAGCTTATCTTTCCATTGTCAGAATAACGTAATACAAGGAAGTAATAAATCTTATAGTCTGTACTGTAATGAATGGCATATACCATGGCTAATGTAAGCAAACTATGTATAAAAGCCAGCTCTGGAATACACTCATTTGAGAGTCTTGTAAAGCTGTTGTCCGTGTGTTATTGCTTACAAATGATTCTCCATCAACGTTGATTATGGTGACCGAGGGATCGAGAACCGAGGGGATTAGAGTCCATTACAACATTAACCCTTTCAGCTTGGTGTCTAGAAGTGGGATAGAAGTTGGATCAGCAAAACCATTTGCGGTGAGTAGCCTTTTTGTGTCTTATTTGACGCTGATTGTCTATGACCCCCCTTTGGTTCAGTAAGTCTGTATCCAGTAGATAGGAAAGGTCTAAGGACTCTAGTTATATTGAGACCATGAGAGGTCTCCGGTTTATATTGAGACTATAAGAGGTCTCCGGTTTATTAGACATTTGGTCTAAATATATAGGGTTTTGGTAACCCAGGTTAGTATCTAAGATAGATACAGGGTATCTCAGGTAGATACAGGTTTTTGAGACCATAAGAGGTCTCTGGTTTATTAAGTCTATAGGTGTTCTGAGCAGCACGGTTTGTAGATCTTTAAGTATAACCCAAACTTCTCTTTCTCCCGGTCACCTTTGTTTGTCTTAAGTGTTTTTTGTGGGTGATTGATTGTCTATATTGGGGACACACTTTGGTAAGTTAGTAGTGTCCCCACTCTGAGTCAGCAGTATGGGAAATGTGAGTTCATGTCCTGAGTGACCAATATATGTACATGTATATGTGTGTGTATGTATATATGTGTATATGTATGTATATATGTGTGTGTATATCTATATGTGTATATATAAGATAGCAGTACTTTTAAACAAATGGAGGTTTTAAAAATACATAGGGATTAAGGAGAGAACGCAGGTAACTTGTTTTTCTTTGGTTTTTACCATATATTGGGGCTGATGTGTACTGTAGTCCTTGCTGCTGTCCAGTAGTGATGGGAGTGAGCGCAGGACTTATCTTTCTGCAAGATAGCAGTACTGTATATTAGAAAAGAAATGACTCACAGGTTGTACCTGATAGACCTACTTAAATCTTTTTGCTTTATTCTTTCTGTCGCATAGAAGTATAAGTTTATTACTCTGTTTTATTGTAAGTTATTTCACATGGGAACTGTGTGCCTGGAATGATTGTTGCTTTAAAAATACTATAAGCCCACTACACTTATTATGAGAGTGGGATAGTGTAAATGTGTTGCATTGTTTGCATGATGAGCTCAGTATATTTTATAACTGAGACAAAAAGTCACTTCATTAGTATTTTAAAGTTAATTCCCCATATGGGATTAATTGTATAGAAACACCAATCAGCACATCTTCCCTGCCCTGTGTGTTTGTTGCAAAGGATCCATACTAAATATGATTTATGTTTGAAAATAACAGAGCAACATTTACATTTTCAGCGGTCCAACACATGCTTTATTTTGCACTGTAAACTAACCTTTTTATTGCAACAGGTTCCTTTTAAATGATCCAGTGTAATAACTACTGCTTGTGTCTTCTATGTCTCACATTATGTGTTCTTTTAAATTGTGGTATATAGCCTGAATCAGACATCATGGACAAAAGGTTTTTACCTGTATTACAAAGGGCTCTTGGAGACTGACCGGTCTAAAGGTTTGCCATGCCTTTAAAACATGGTATAGTATAAATTTTTTAAGTCTCTGAGAGTTCTGAAAGATTCAGGTGAAACCATGTCTGTTTAATCTGGTCCAGATGTTTGCAAAAAAAATTTCTGTAAGATTTAAATTGATGCAGCATCATCTCAGATTAGTTAATGGTAGTTTTATACAAATAGTTGAGTTATGAGCGCGCTATATAAATGGATCCTTTCTTTAAATACAATACTATAGTAGATTAAAGTAATGAAGTTAATTAAGAAAATGTACACATAAGAATCCCTAAAATAAATCTAAACTAAAATTGGTATACCTTCCAATAATATGTTCTGAATACAGCTGTTAACTGTTTATTTTGTGTAAATGGTGATTGTGATAATGTGTGAAGTGTGCAGTTTAACTTGAAAGTGGTTTAATGTATATGTTGCTGTATTGTTTTAAATTATATGTGAATCAGTTTGTCACAGTCTAGTGATACTGATAAGAATGACAGCCAAATAACCTAGCAAATAACTGTTTTATTAGTTGTTGAATACTAGCGTTTTGGCCAAGAATAGTTGGAGATTTGGAGGTTTTAGTTTAAGATTGCTTTTATATTGTGTGTATCCGTGTTTCCTAGGAGGGAGACAGAGTGTGTAGTTGTGTGCCCATAAATGTGATTTCTGTATTGGCATATCTGCTGGGTACCCATTATGTGTTTCTACAAAGATATTGCTTTGTGAGATGACGTGTAATATTACATTGGATGCTGAGTATGAGTTATATGGTTTGAAATGAATTGGTGATTATGAGCTTAGTACTTCAGTAAGATGTGCTAAAATCTGGAACAAGGTGGAAGCTGAAATGTTGGGATTATGGAAGAATAAGCAGTCTATATTCACTGCTTTGGCATATAAGCAGGATGCAAAGGAAGAGATTGGTAATATGATTTTTGTAAATAAATTTTACAAGTGTTGGAAGGATGAGGCAGGTTTGATGTCTGGAGATGATATAGATCTTTTTAAAATACAGTCATGCCTTGGTAATATGTTGCCACAGTATTATTTGCTTGTGAAACAATTGATTTCAGACTGGGCCAATTTGGATAGCTCAGATTTTCTTACCAAGGTTATAGAAAAGGAAAATGCAGGTTGTTTTGAATTAAGAAAAGATTTAGGAAAGTAAGGTTGCTTATTATGCTCAGGGATTGCAACATATTATGTCCAGCTACACAGGCTGAGAGCGAGGATGGGATGGAGCACATAAAGCCCGTGGAAGGGGTGGTCAAAGAGGGGCAAGGGGATGGAGACAGGGAAATCAGGGTTATAGGGGCAGGGGTAACCAAGGAGGAATAGACAGGAACACTTGTTTCAACTGTGGCCAATATGGCCACTGGAGGAATGAGTGTCCACACCCCAGGAAACCCCAGGAAACCCCACACACCCCAACAACCCCACCTTTCTCAAAATATGCCCGGTAGGCAAGAACAACACCAGACCCACTCCCAACACCACTGGCCAGCATATCGCTTAGTTCAGGACTTTAGAGCCCTGAATAGTTTAATTGTGCCCATTTCACCCATTGTCCCTGATGTGACATCCCTCATTACAGCCATTCCACATGATGCCACTTGCTTCACTGTCATTGATTTAAGTAATGCATTTTTTTCTATACCTATTGATCAAGAGACACAGCTACTTATGGTTTTTACTTTTTGAAGGCTGTCAGTTTACCTGGACACGCTTACCCAAGGCTATGTGGATTCCCCAGCTGTTTATTCGTTGGTACTCCAACATACTCTAAAAAAACATGGACCACCGGTCATGGTTCCGTCCTTTTTGCAAAATGTTGATGATTTGTTGTTATGTAACCCTAGCTATGAGGCAAGCACTGTGGATACTGTCAGCAACTGTAGGTCACAAGGTTGTTAAACACAAAATGCAATTGTGTAAATCAAAGGTTGAATACTTAGGTTTTGTTCTGGCTTTAGGCACCAGACAATTGAGTCCAAAACGTATTGAGGTCATTCAGAGGATTCCTACACCCACTACTCGGAAGGAGTTGCTCACCTTCCTCGGCATGATTAATTACTGCCACCATGGATCCGTGAATGCTCCCATTATGATTCAATCCTAAGGGAGGCTGTACGTTCTGACAGCCCTGAAAATGTCTGCTGGTCACCAGACATGCTAGCTGCATATATTGCCCTTACAGTTGTTATTGTGCAAGCCCAGGCTTTAGGACTACCTGTGTATTGTAAACCATTTCATTTGTATGCTTGGGACAATTGTAAAACCATGGCCGCGGTCTGTGCACAAGAGCAAGGAGGCGGTATGCGTCCCATAGCATTCTTTTCCAAAGTAGTTCGAGCTCCGGTACAGGGTATGCCGGCGTGTCTCAGAGCATTGATAGCATGTGCAATGGCTGTTGAAACTGCTACTACTATCACACTAGGGCATCCTACAATACTTTATGCCAGTCACCAGGTCACTCAGCTGACAAATCTCACCACACAACACATGACAGCCCAGCGCTTCAGTGGTTATGAGATTCTTTTTTTAAATACCCAGAATCTGTCTTTTGGATTAAACAAGGTTTAGAGAAAGATCAAAATGATCTGTTCTCTAAAGAGGGGAGAATAGGCATACTTGAAGAATAGGCATACTTGAAGCAAGCTGATTTATTTTCATCAGTCAGGCACATAGCAAGCACCATTCAATTCTTCATGAATTCATTTTATATTAGGAATCTCAGGCAGCATGTACAGTCTTTTGTAAGATCGTGTGAACGCTGCTCTTTTTACACACTTACAGATTGATTTTATTCATGTATCCAAAATTGGTAAGAAACAGCAATACTTACTGGTCATAGTTGATCAGTTTAGTAGATGGCATGAGGCCTTTGTGACATCTAGGGAAGATGCTAGTGAAGATTATTGTTACTGAAATTATTCCCCGGTATTGCTGCCCTCTGCAGATTGGCTCTGATAATGGCCCGGTTTTTGCAAGTGGGGTTGCCCAGGAACTTGCTAAATTCTTGCAAGTTACCTGGTAGTTTCATATACCCTATCATCCACAGAATACAGGGGTAGTTGAAAGGATGAATAGGACTATTAAGGAAAAGCCCAGAATTTACCCAGGAACATGGGTAAATTGGACAAGATATCTACCAGCTATTTTAGCTGAGATAAGAATGAATCCCCACAAGGTGAATTGTTGATAAAACCGAATGGTATGTATGACAATGTTTCTTCGCAGTTTTCCCTTACCTTCACAGGAACCTACTCATTCATACCAGCCCGGTGACAAGGTGTATATCCGTCAGTTGAACAGGACCAAGAAAGGAGGATACCCTTTTGGACCACCTGCTACTGTGATTGCTGTACCCAGAACCGCTGTCCACAGATTCCCACGACATCTGGATTCACGCATCCCGAGTGAAGCTGTGTCCAAAGAGGGGAACCAAGGAAGACAACACCACTCCTCGCTCGGAAACAGAAGAATTTCTCCTCAGCGAAGCATCATGGCTTTTACACCATATCGTAGATTGAGAGGATCATACGTACCTGAGACCAAGATTATGTTGTGCGCTATGCTTTCTGGAGTTGTTATACTCCCTCTGATATTGTTCCTTGAATGCCATTATGAGTACAAGTCAATGGCAAGTTCTGGAAAAAGACTCTGACATGATGAACAATTCTTCAATACCCCCAGCCCAATTAGGCCTTAGCCCCTCATCTAGCATTCGTCACACACGCCCCCTCAAGAACCTTTCTCCACCACCTTTCTATCAGCATGCAATATGCAATCATTCATTCACTGAACGCATTTGGATGAATTGGACAAATAGTAACCCTTATAAGTACCAGTTACCCATATGAAATGTGTCTACAGCTAATGAAACCGATGCATTATGTTTGTTTGAAGGTTCACAGAAAATTGTTAGATCTTATAACGCAGAAATGTGCACAGTTAAGGTTGCATATCAATGTAAACAGACAGGCCTTATTACTTTTAATAATGATTATATAACTGGTATCATTAATTGGAGAAGGGGACAAATGTTAGTCATTATGAACGACACTGCAATTGAGAACTATACACTACCTTATATTTTTACACCTTACTGTCCTTTATCCTCTACCATAGAACCAAAAGTCAACAACGACACACACACACACACCTATTCCGTCCACATTTATTAATACAACTGCCTTCTTACAAGCTGTACATGTGTCATTAAAAGTCACTACTCTTGTTGTAACATTATGTAATACAACAAACAAAGGCAGAAAAGGGAATGGTATGACACACTGTTAGGAGGTGCTGGAACCACTATGGGTATACTAAATAGTTATAGATATGGAGACCCTCAAGAATAAGTTAAACACAGCCAGCATGCATATAGGGACTGGTTTTCATGCTAGTGCAAATTGGGCTCCAATTGTTGTTAAATCACAGGTTACAGGATTGGATTTAGATAAATCAATGTATAATTATTTAGATAATTTAACTGTTGCAACTATGAAATTCACTACAGGTCTAGGTAACTGGAGTATTTGTGCCATCAGGTATTTATGGATACAACAACAAGGATTGGCATTAGAAAACACACTAATGATTCCTAAACTAGAGAAGATTAGAGGAATGTGTAACCTCACAGATAATGATTGGTTACTTCTAAAACCCCAATCCAGTAAATGCAATGGATGGTTAACTGGTAATGTTTCACATTTTTTCATGCTCATGCTATTTAACATTATATCATACATTATCAAAGGATGTTAAATTAGCTTGTCAATTTAACACATTACCAGTACCAGTTTATGATCTTTTTGCCAAGAATTTAACCTGGTGGGCACCCACATACACAGGGGACTATATTTTTCCCAAAGATAACACACACAGGTAGCCACACATATCCTAAAAGGAGAACTCCTTAAGGTGAGTTCACAAATTCAGAATGATTTAGCCCATCATTGGTACAATGCTTTACTGGTTGGTCCCCTACTGGATCTCAGATAATGAAATCATTCTTCTATCATTTTGTTATTATAGTCCTGATTTTATTGTGTATGATTTTATATAACTGTCACCTTACTTGTACATTGAGGAAGAGAGTACAGAAATGAATCCATAATGCAGAACAGAAACAATTAGAAATTCTCCTCTCTGCCACTGTAGAGTATCAACCCATCTTTAAACTGGGCCTTAGGAATTACCACATGGGAATCGAGGTGAAGAAATTAATGAAAGTCCCGCAGGGAGTGACTAGCACCCCTGAAAATACCATGTGGAAGTTTCTCTGTCCTGGTAAGATTTTATCGATAAGATGAGCAATTGTTTTATTGCTCAAAGAGGGGAATGTAAGAATATTAAATAGTTAACTTGTTTATATGTATTTTATGCTTTTATAAGGTTTATAACATGATTATTGCTGACTGAAGGGATATTGAATACTTAAAGTCAATATGCTGACTGTGACAGACTAAGGTATTTCTTCTATAGGATGTAAGACAATGCTAAAATTTCAGGATGTCTTGCCCATTCCGATTTCAGGATATTCTTTTCCAGACGTATGCAAAAGCTTATCTTTCCATTGTCAGAATAACGTAATATAAGGAAGTAATAAATCTTATAGTCTGTACTGTAATGAATGGCATATACCATGGCTAATGTAAGCAAACTATGTATAAAAGCCAGCTCTGGAATACACTCATTTGAGAGTCTTGTAAAGCTGTTGTCCGTGTGTTATTGCTTACAAATGATTCTCCATCAACGTTGATTATGGTGACCGAGGGATCGAGAACCGAGGGGATTAGAGTCCATTACAACATTAACCCTTTCACAGAGCTCTGCAATGACGGCATTCTGGTGGTATGATATGAGTGGCACTGTAAACTGGCAGAGTACACGCTGTAGGGCTGACACACCCACTTTAAGGACACTGACTGCTATTCAATCTATAACAGTGAAAAAAGTGTTTTGTTTTTTTAAATCCAAGCTTTGTGTCACCAGATCTAATAGGTGGCACTGGTCACCGTATCCACTGTTAGCGTAACACACCTGCTTGAAGATAACTAACTGCTATTCAATCTATAACATTGAAAAAAGTGTTTTGTTTTTTTAAATCCAAGCTTTGTGTCACCAGATCTAATTGGTGGCACTGGTCACCGTATCCACTGTTAGCGTAACACACCCGCTTTAAGGACACTGGCTGCTATTCAATCTATAACAGTGAAAAAAGTGTTTTGTTTTTTTAAATCCAAGCTTTGTGTCACCAGATCTAAGTGGTGGCACTGGTCACCGTATCCACTGTTAGCGTAACACACCAGCTTTAAGGACACTGACTGCTATTCAATCTATAACAGTGAAAAAAGTGGGTTTTTTTTAAATCCAAGCTATTGTGACACCAGATATAAGTGGTGGCACTGGTCACCGTATCCACTGTTAGCGTAACACACCCGCTTTAAGGACACTGACTGCTATTCAATCTATAACAGTGAAAAAAGTGGGGTTTTTTTAAATCCAAAGCTATTGTGACACCAGATCTAAGTGGTGGCACTGGTCACCGTATCCACTGTAAGCGTAACACACCCGCTTTAAGGACACTGACTGCTATTCAATCTATAACAGTGAAAAAAGATTATTTTTTTTTTAAATCCAAACTATTGTGACACCAGATCTAATTAGTGGCACTGGTCAGCGTATCCACTGTTAGCGTAACACACACCCGCTTTAAGGACACTGACTGCTATTCAATCTATAACAGTGAAAAAAGTGTTTTGTTTTTTTAAATCCAAACTTGGTGTCACCAGATCTAATTGGTGGCACTGGTCAGCGTATCCACTGTTAGCGTAACACACCGGCTTTAAGGACACTGACTGCTATTCAATCTATAACAGTGAAAAAAGATTTTTTTTTTTTTAAATCAAGCTATTGTGACACCAGATCTAATTAGTGGCACTGGTCAGCGTATCCACTGTTAGCGTAACACACCCGCTTTAAGGACACTGACTGCTATTCAATCTATAACAGTGAAAAAAGTGTTTTGTTTTTTTAAATCCAAGCTTTGTGTCACCAGATCTAATTGGTGGCACTGGTCACGTATCCACTGTTAGCGTAACACACCCGCTTTAAGGACACTGACTGCTATTCAATCTATAACAGTGAAAAAAGATTATTTTTTTTTTAAATCCGAAATATTGTGACACCAGATCTAATTAGTGGCACTGGTCAGCGTATCCACTGTTAGCGTAACACACCCGCTTTAAGGACACTGACTGCTATTCAATCTATAACAGTGAAAAAAGTGTTTTGTTTTTAAATACAAGCTTTGTGTCACCAGATCTAAGTGGTGGCAATGGTCACCGTATCCACTGTTAGCGTAACGCACACTGTTAGCGTAACACACCCGCTTTAAGGACACTGACTGCTATTCAATCTATAACAGTGAAAAAAGTTTTTTGTTTTTAAATCCAAGCTATTGTGACACCAGATATAATTAGTGGCACTTGTCAGCGTATCCACTGTTAGCGTAACACACCCGCTTTAAGGACACTGACTGCTATTCAATCTATAACAGTAAAAAAAGTTTTTTGTTCTTAAATCCAAGCTATTGTGACACCAGATATAATGGTGGCACTACCGTATCCACTGTTAGCGTAACACACCCGCTTTAAGGACACTGACTGCTATTCAATCTATACCAGTGAAAAAAGTTTTTTGTTTTTTTAAATCCAAGCTTTGTGTCACCAGATCTAATTGGTGGCACTGGTCAGCGTATCCACTGTTAGCGTAACACACCCGCTTTAAGGACACTGACTGCTATTCAATCTATAACAGTGAAAAAGTGTTTTTTGTTTTTAAATACAAGCTTTGTGTCACCAGATCTAAGTGGTGGCAATGGTCACCGTATCCACTGTTAGCGTAACACACCCGCTTTAAGGACACTGACTGCTATTCAATCTATAACAGTGAAAAAAGTGTTTTGTTTTTAAATCAAGCTATTGTGACACCAGATCTAAGTGGTGGCACTGGTCACCGTATCCACTGTTAGCGTAACACACCCGCTTTAAGGACACTGACTGCTATTCAATCTATAACAGTGAAAAAAGTGTTTTTTGTTTTTAAATCCAAGCTTTGTGTCACCAGATCTAATTGGTGGCACTGGTCAGCGTATCCACTGTTAGCGTAACACACCCGCTTTAAGGACACCGACTGCTATTCAATCTATAACAGTGAAAAAAAGTGTTTTTTGTTTTTAAATACAAGCTTTGTGTCACCAGATCTAAGTGGTGGCACTGGTCACCGTATCCACTGTTAGCGTAACACACCCGCTTTAAGGACACTGACTGCTATTCAATCTATAACAGTAAAAAAAGTTTTTTGTTTTTAAATCCAAGCTATTGTGACACCAGATGTAATTGGTGGCACTGACTGGGGAAATGGGCACAGTATGCACTGTGAGCCTGACACAGAAGCTGGCAGCAGTGGCAGACAACTAAGTGCAATTACATTACATAGAAAAAAAAATAAAAAAAAAGCATACCCTAACCCTAACCTAGCTATGCTTTTCCCTATCTTATGAACAGCAGCTACACTTTCCCTCCTCTTACTAAGCATGCAGCTTGAGAATGAATCTAAAATGGATGCCTTCCAGGAGGTGGGAGGGTCTGCTAGGGAGGGTGTGCTGCTAATTGGCTGAAATGTGTCTGCTGACTGTGAGGTACAGGGTCAAAGTTTACTCAATGATGACGAATAGGGGGCGGGTCGATCCGCGCATATGTTCGCCCGCTGTGGCGAACGCGAACATGCTATGTTCGCCGGGAACCGTTCGCCGGCGAACCGTTCGGTACATCACTAATCAGTTAGTATGCTTGTAATGAATATCTATATGTGGAATTAAAAAAATTATTGTAGGAGAATTAGCCAAATCCTAGCTAAGTGAAATCAATCACAATGCTGAATCAACCACAAATGGCTTAATAGTAGCAACTAAACGGAAACAATAAGTGATATACACACAAAATAGCAATACTCAAATCTTTATCAGCAGATAAAGGGTGGAACAGATGAGTGTATATCAGGAACAATAAGGTGCATACCAGTGCTCAGTGCTGGTAATATGTGACATATAGTTCTATTACGCTGTACTACAAGGGACAGGATTGTCGTCAACAGCACTCCTGATGATCAAGGTGACGCTGACCAGTTGAAATCCGTGGTGGGTGCTCCTTCTTATGGCTTTATAGCCTCCCCTTTACTTGGGATCTAGCAAACGCTCCTCTTTACTTTCATACCTATTTTGTCTGTCTGTTAGCATGGGTAACATTGGCCGGCTGACAAATACACAGAGTTTAGCTTGAATTATAGAATAAAATTAGGAGCAGGTTTCTTGTGTTTTTATTTCATTCAACTTTTTCCATTTCTTACTTCACATTTCACCATCACTTGGTATAGTAGATTTGACTCATTTTCAGTATCACAGTTTAGTGTTTTACAAGTATTGTTAACTTCTGAGGACAGTGACACCTGGTGGATGCCTGCATGTCATTACATATACCTTATGATACAATGTGTACTAATTAATGTTTAATTTATTTGTATTACAACTTTACCACTGTTGGTATTTTAGAAGTCCATTTTCTACTATTCCTTAGGTATTGATTAGAGAACAACAGGGAGGTTATTATCTTTGATATCATTGTTAATATAGGCAAGTTGTTGTTTTTTTCTTTTCTTTTCTTCAAGATTATATAGTTAGCACTATTTACTTTTTGTGATAATTCCGTTTGTAACCACCTTACAATATAGACTAGGTCTAATTGTTGGTAACCACCCTTATTAGGTGGGGGTTCTATTGGTAACATTTAAATCCATTCAAGTGTAACCACATGTAGCATGTTGAGTCATGTTACTTTTATTTTTGATCTAATTCCATATTTGTAACTATCCATTGAGGGTGGTTAATTTTACCCTTAGGACTGTTTGGTATTGTAGGTTTTGTCATTATATATCAAGCCCTCAAAGATTTTGCATTTAAAATAAATTTAATCTGTATTTTAAAAATATTTCCTTGAAGATATGGTTACTCATAATTTTTCAATTAGGGATGTGCATGGGGAAAATATTTGGTTCAGCATTCCAAAATTCGGGACTTCGGAACTTCAGTTTGGTTCGACACTTCGGAACGTTGGCACCCTGAGTGGCGGGTGGGGGTCCTAAATCAGAATAAAGGGGGGGGCTATTGTCCTCCCTCCGGCCCCCATCTCTGAGCGGCGGGTGGGGGGTCCTAAAGTAGAATAAGGGGAGGGACCTATTGTCCTCCGCCCCGGCCCCCACCCCTGAGTGGCAGATGGAGGCCCTAAATCAGAATAAGGGGGGGACCTATTATCCTTCCCCCCTTGCCCCCACCCCTGAGCGGCGGGTGGGGACCCTAAATATCAATATGGAGGGACACCTATTGTCCTCCCCCCAGGCCCCCACCCCTGAGCAGCGGATGGGGGCCCTAAATTAGAATAAGTGGGGGAGACCTATTGTCCTCCACCCCAGCCCCCACCCCTGAGCGGCGGGTGGGGGTCCTATATCAGAATAAGGGGGGGACCTATTGTCCTCCACCCCGGCCCCCACCCCTGAGCGGCGGATGGGGGCCCTAAATCAGAATAAGGGGGGGACCTATTATCCTTCCCCCTTGGCCCCCACCCCTGAGCAGCGGGTGGGGAC